TTTTATTAATAATATAAAAATTTTAATTTTCTACAGTATCTCTAGCTCTTCTTTTCCCACATATACATAATATGTGTATGTAGGGACAACTCTTTGTGTTTCATTAATACATTATGTAAAATACATTCAATTTTACTCTGTAATCAAAAAAAAAACCAATTCGAAAACAAATATTTTTCTAAATTCATTTCTTACCCTAATTAGGGTTTCAGTGTTTTATTGTATAGTTTTTTGTTTAAAAGAAAATTTATAATATAATTTTCATTATTGAAAAACAATTTAATTTTTTGTCTATTTCTTTCTTCACCATATAATCTGCATTTTAATTGACGGCTAATGAAAAAAGCTAAACAATACTTGTATTCCATCCCAAAATAATTTACGAACTATGAAAATTCTTCGAATTACTTATAATATAAAAACTATTATAAAAAATATTCATTATTGAAATAAATTTTATTTTTGTAATTTTTTCTAATGCCGTATATGAAAAATATTATTTTTGTTATGTATATTTAATGGAATTTAAATAAAAAATGTTACAATCTATGTTCGAAGTCAATTATTCAGTATTAATTATGAAATTCGGAGCCGATATGAATTTGACTGTGTTTTTTGGAATTATGCAAGCAAGAGAATAATTAATATGTTTATGATAAAATATACTGCAATTGGCTTTTGTAAAGCAAAAAGGTGACCCAAATAAATAAACCGAAAAATCCCCATTTATTATACCCGTACGAACGTATGTTCGAAGGGTATACTAAATTTGCCTTACCGTTTGTAACGCTAAGAAATAACGGTGTTAGATATAGACTCAAGTGTATGTTTTTGATCAGCGTCAAATTCTGAGTTGATTTAGCTTTGTCTGTCCGTCCGTCCGTCCGTCCGTCCGTCCGTCCGTCCGTCCGTCCGTCCGTCCGTCCGTCCGTCCGTCCGTCCGAACGATAACTCAAAAAATAATTGAGCTAAGTTCACCAAATTTTCACAAATGATTTATTGTAGTAAGTGCCAGAACCCTATTTAAATTGGACATGATCGGGGTACCGGTTCGGGTAGCTGCCATACAACTTCAAAATTTATTTGGCTATATCTCAGAAACTATAAAAGTTATGGTATTGAAATTTCACACAAACGAATATATTAGTAGGGCCGATGTGTCTGGTAAAAGTCGTTGAAATTACTTGGCTCCTTCTGGTACCTGCCATACAACTTCAAAAGTTATTTGACTATATTTCAGAAACTATTAAAGCTATGGTATTGAAATTTCACACAAACGAATATATTAGTAGGGCCAATGTGGCTTATAAAAGTCGTTGAAATTACTTGGCTCCTTCTGGTACCTGCCATACAACTTCAAAAGTTATTTGACCATATCTCAGAAACTATAAAAGCTGTGATATTGAGATTTCACACAAGTGAGTATATTAGTAGGGCCGATGTGCTTGATAAAATTCGCTAAAATTTCTTGGCTCTTTCTTGTAGCTGCCATACAACATCAATAGTAGTTTAGCACAACCAGTATTTTGAATAACACATAGTACTGAAATTTTGCATAAATTAATATGATAATACGGCAACTTAAAGTCATAGTCTGCCCCATAGTTAGTTATGGCACATTAGTTATTCGCACATAGGATAACAAATTCGTACGGGTATCACAGAGTTGACAAGGTCAACTCTATTTTTTTTCTCGTTTAATTTTAAATCTCATTTTTATTGTAAAAAAGAAGTTTTCGACCAACTAATTTCTGAAATATAAATACTAAATACTGAACTATAATTTAATACATTTCTTTATTTTATATTAAGTTTTTAAATATCAGAAATGGAAAGGTAGTATCATACAAATTGATTGGTACTACCTTTCAATTTTATGCAAGAGTCCCCAGCACATTAATATTTTTCAATAAAAAAAAATATTGCTTTTATTAAATATTATTGTAACACGCGTTTGAATAATATTATTAAGAGTAAATATTCGTGCATTTAAACGAAGAAAAGCGATCATCTATTCAACTTTTCCATAAAATTGTTGTAGATGACAATGAAAGAATAAGTAATTGACTATTGTGTTTCTTATTTCCTTTGTGTAGTTTTTAGGCAGTTGAATTACAAAAATGATTTTCTTATATTAATTTTCTGCCCCTTTCGATTATTATTCCAAATAGATTCCAATTCAAATAGGTTAAAAAATACGAAGGTAAATTTTTTCGAAAGAACGTTAACACAAATTTTGTGTTCTTCAAAAAAAAAAAATTTCAATAAAGAACATTTATTTTTTGTTTTTGCTCTTTCTTGGGTCTTGCTTTTAAAATTTTTTTTTTTATAAATATTTTAAAGAAAAAAGTTCTGATTAAGATTGATAGGAAAATTTCGAAATATTCTAATAGTAAAAAGAAAAATAATTAAAAAAGTCAAAGAGGCCTCTTAGGAAGAAAATAAGACAGTTAAATGTGATATGAAATAACATTCACACATATATAGTTGTACTGAAAAACAATAGGATGGAATGATAAATAAATAATATTATCATATCATTATTAAAGGTCTCATTATACCCGTACGAATGTATGTTCGAAGGGTATACTAAATTTGCCTTACCGTTTGTAACGCTAAGAAATAACGGTTTTAGATATAGACTCAAGTGTATGTTTTTGATCAGCGTCATCAAAAACTAATTGAGCTAAGTTCACCAAATTTTCACAAATGATTTATTGTAGTAAATGCCAGAACCATATTTAAATTGGACATGATCGGGCTAGTGGTTCGGGTAGCTGCCGTACAACTTCAAAATTTATTTGGGTATATTTCAGAAACTATAAAAGCTATGATATTGAAATTTCACACAAACGATTATATTAGTAGGGTCAATGTGCCTCATAAAAGTGGTTAAAATTCCTTGGCTTCTTCTAGTAGCTGCCATACAACTCCAAAAGTTTTTTGACTATATCTCAGAAACTATAAAAGCTATGGTATTGAAATTTCACACAAGCGAATATATTAGTAGAGCCGATGTGCTTGATAAAATGCGTTAAAATTTCTTGGCTCTTTCTGGTAGCTGCCATACAACTGCAATAGTAGTTTGGCACATACAGTATTTTGAAAAACACATAGTACTGAAATTTTGCATAAATTAATATGATAATACGTCAACTTAAAGTTATAGTCTGTCCCTTAGTCAGTTATGGCATATTTATTCGCACATAGGAAAACAAATTCGTAAGGGTATCACAGAGTTGACACCGTCAACTCTATTTGTTCTCGTTTTATTATCATTTCATTACACATCTATTTAAACTTCACACTACATTAGGTGTACCTTCTCTGCCACAAACTTTTAAATTCATACAATAGACGCTTCGAAATAAAGTGTATAAAAAATTACGTTCAAAAATCTTATTTGTATAAGTAAACTTAATTTTCTGTTTTTATTTAATTATTTCACTGCCACTCCAATAGACCATTATTGAAATTAATATAAAAATTTCCTACAGCTTCAGCTGTCAGACTGACTAGTAATAATAACAAATATGGTGTTACAATAACGATAAATTTTATTTAATCTAAAATATCTTATTAAAACGATATTGACTTAAATGAGTAAATTTAAAAAAATTTTTTGTTTCATGTTCGAAATTTATAATACCTCGCAAATATTAAAAGAAACTTAAATAAAATATTAATTTGACTTTCTCAATAATTTTTTTCAAATGCATTTTTTAAAATCCAAACTGTTATATGAAAAGGAATTTAAAATGAAATATTGAGCAGTAAAATGAACATTAGCTGTGAATGCTATTCAAAATTTATAAATTATTAAACTAATTTTGGATTAACAGCAACACAATAGGAAAAAAAAAGATTGAAAATAATTTAAAAAGTTCTTAAACTTTTCTTTTTAAATTCTTAATTTTTAATTTTTTTTTATCTTTGTATAAAAAGCATTTCAATTATTTCTTTTTCTTTTTCTATTATAATTTCGTTTATAAGATTTACCTTAAGGGTATTTTCTTGTAAATTATTTCAATTAAATCTACTTCAATTTTAAGACAAGAAAATATTAAAAAAATATTATTATCTCGCATGAAATCCCTATAAACCTATTTCAAGACCGAAATGGTCAACAATAAGAAAAAAAGGTGACCATTCTTAAATGATCACTCACGTATGATTAAATATAAAATGTCATTGAATAATAATTACAATTAAAAACCTTAAGAAGAGCAATAGTTTTCGGGAATATTATGATTTTTTTACACATCTACATTTTGATTGTGAACCTTATTATGATCGTGATTATTTTTGTAGTTTTAATCCTGATCCTTACTTGCTGGTTTTCGTTTGTACGTTTCTTTCAAATAATTCTTTGTTAAATTTCTTATTATAACAACTGTTCACCTAAAAGAGCAATACTTAATACCTGAAAGCTGGTTACTCTGTGTTTATACTCTGTACAACACTTATACTCTGTTTTATTCACAAAAACAAATGTGCGTTTTTTTTAATTTCTTTCTCATATAGTACTCAACCTTTCTCTTTATTTCCCTAAAGTTTACTTTTATCTATCGAGTTGTTTAAAGTAGTTATGATGTATACTTTATGTTATGTCATAATTTTTTTTGTTAATCTGTTTATCTAATACCGAAATAAAATTATATTCAATGATTATAAGATTTTTAAATCGACAATGCAGCTATCACTAATATCAGACATGACAGCAGATTAATTTAACAAAAGTGAGCATAGCAAAATAAATTTTTTCTTCAGTCTCAAATAAATTGAAAATTTAAAAAAATAAATTTTCAGATATTATATTTAGTTTTCTATTTAAATACCTACATGTTTTCATATTTAGAAAGTAAACTTTGAGTCGTTTGTTAGACACATTTTTGCTTTTAATAATTTAATTATTAAAAATGAAATCTACTCTACAATTTTATTATAAGTAAATAGTAATGCAACATCTTAATTAAATTTGTTTAAATTTTTTTTTTCAGACGGAGAATACATGTTTGCCGATCCGGAAAGCAAATTATCAAAATATGGCCCAAAAAGTTGGCGCTCATCCCACACTCATGTTAGTATTAAAATATAACATTAAATAAACATTTACAAATTTTAATTTTCATTATTTAAATTTTAGGGTCTCGATGCGAATGGAAGGCCTCTCCTAGAACTACACTTTCGTGTTCAGTTCTACATCGAGAGTCCGTTTATGCTACGAGATGAAACATCACGTCACAATTATTATTTACAATTAAAAGCGAACGCTATAAGTCGAGATGTTCCAAAAGAATACTCTGAACAGTCGATGATATTATTAGGTGGTTTAGCTTTACAAGCGGATTTAGGTGATTGCCCTGATGATGATTGTCGTCCTGTTGCAGAATCTCCAGCTATATTATCATCATCATCATCCTCAGTTGGTGCAAGTAGTAATAGTGTTGGTGGTATTCTAATCAATGGCGGTATTTCTTTAGCAAATTTAAAAAATCAGTCAACAGTATCCAATGGAGGTTCAATAACATCAATTAACGCAACAATCGGTAATATATCATTAAAGAGTGGTAGTAAAAAATCTAATACAAACATTAAATGTAATACAATAAGTGATGTATTACAATTAAAATCTTCAACAAATTCAACAGTTACAACGGGAACTAGTTCATTACGTAAAATAATGAATAGTGGAAGTGTTCGGCAAATAGAAAGTATTTTAATTCCACCGGCATCATCAACATCATCGTTAGCAACAAATAGCTCAACATCAGCCATCACGTCTTCGTCATCATCATCAATTGGTGCCAGTAATATTTCATCAAATTTACAAGAATATTTTCGTTTAGAGGATTACTTACCAGCTGGCATACATTCAGCATGGAGTTCAAGTGCAATGCGCTCATGTCATAGGGAAAATCGTGGAATATCTAGAGCTGAGGCCGAATTAAATTATATTCGGCAGGCATGCTCAATACATGATGCCATCAATGCACATGTTTATCGTATGAAGCTTTCTAAAACAGAAAATGGCATTGGAACTGTTTTATTTGTAGTTTATGCCAAAGGAATACGAATTTACAGTGAAAATGCTCAACCAGTAACATTTTTATGGCCAAACATCACTAAGCTAAGTTTTGAACGTAAGAAATTTGAAATTCGATCAGGCGACAATAAAATAACACTTTATTCAATGAGCGACGAAAAAAACAAAATGCTATTGACTTTGTGCAAAGAAACACATCAATTCAGCATGAAAATTGCTTCAAGACTTAAAGAAGCTATAAGGAGAGAGGAAGAAGAAAATCAGTGCTTAGATGCATGTTATATCTACTCTCGCAGTAGTCTTCATTTGCCATATAAAAATAAAAATGATCAACGAATATCTGTTATATCTTCTACTAGTTCTAATACAACTTCTGGTATCGTCAGTGATCGAGTTCACTCGGAAGATGAATTGGAAATTATGATCAATACTCCCCCGAATGTTCCCATAGCAGCACCTTCAACTGAAAGCTTAGCTCTAGCCCACCTTTTAGATAGACCAAGTGTTAGTAGACAAGCATCATCTGCGGGACAAGTTTCTTTGAAAGATCTTGAGGAACATTTAGCTGCTCTATCTATTAGATCAAAAACCAGATCAAATAGTAGTGATTCAACTGGAGGAGCAGTGGGAAGTACCAGTGGAAGTAGCACTGAACATACATCGACAACAACGAATAATATTCATATTACAGATCGGATAAGAAGCGGTCCAACTCTTGGAGACAGTTCTGGATCTATTTCAATAGAAACAGAGTCACCAAATTCACATCACAATATAGGATCACAATGTTCTTCCACATGCAGTACTGTTGTAGTTGCCACAGATACAATTACTCTGTCATCATTGGCTGCTCATACGGCAGCATCAAACAGAAGGTCATCTACATCAAGCAGCTTAGAATTGGGTTTTAGTCATACAGCACAAAATTCAGCTATAAGTGAGGATGCAAGTACTTGCGTTGAACATGAATTTAGAAATCAAGATGGTTGCGAAATCGATGAAACTCAATCAGGTGTGTACACTTTAGAACACGGAGCCCCACCGACAGAAACGTCAGGGGTCTACACAATGAACAGTAGTGAAATTACAGGCCAGTCTTCGGAAATAGCTGAATCTGAAAGTCACGATAGTTCACACTACGGTTGTTTTCAACCAAATGCTAATATAACAACGGACGTAGACGAAGGAGTAAGTGAAACAGCTGATTCTGTAGATGGTTTAAGAAATGTGAGTTTTGAACACAACCGATTAAAAAACGATGATATGAGTGAATTTCGCTTGAGATCCGATTCAAACATTAGTGCTAGTGGCTCATTTCGAGGTGATGGTAGTGATCCTACTGATAACAAGCACACACTCTTAACGGCTGAAGAATTAACGGATTTAATAGTTGGTCGGGGTTCTTATCCCTCACGTAAAACTGTCAGTGCTACTCTTGATTCAGATTGCGATTACGTTACATTACCGTTAGCTTTAGAAGGGGATAGTTATATACAAGGCCATCAAGACACAGCTCCAAGTGAAGATGCCGACGTTGACATGATGGATGTAATTCTACCTACCGATCCTCCAGCACCTCCAAAACGAATTGATAGTAACATGCCACATTCTAGTTTGGCGAACATTGGAAGTCACCTACGATCACCACCTCCGTATCATGCCCGACATGAAACCACTGGGCTCTGTGGCCCTTCAGTTCGGAAAAGTTTACAAAAATTAGCCATAAGCAGTCCTATTAATAAAAATAGTACAGAAATACAGAAACCTGTCATCTCACAGCCGCCTATTCCTATTCCACTAAGAGATCCTCCGCCATATCCTCAACAACCTACTGCAATAAAATCACAGGTTTCTGACGTTTTGAGAAATTTGGAAATATCACAGAATACTATAACCAATACAACAATTCCTGAAGAAGTAACAGCACGTTTCATAACCACTAGACCTCACATAAATATATTAAAAGCTCATACATCAGTAGTCTCAGATAACGCGAAACCGAGCTTTGCAGCTCCTACACTTCCAGCAATTATACCATTAGGAACAACTTCAAATCCAAATCAAAAAATTTCTCAAGTAACGCAAGTTTCTCGTGGCCATAGTAATCATAATGTTAATTCTTTAACTCCTTCTAAACCTCAATCATTAGCTAGTCAACAGCAAATAACAGCAACCGTACCAACTACCATTGGTATACCAATAGTTCCTTATAATATTCACAGTGCACATAAAAGTATATCGTCAATACCAGCACCACCTCCACCTTATCATCATGAAGTCAAACCAGCTACACCAAGAACATGCGTCTTGTTGCCAGTTATTAAACCTCGTCAATATTTACCACCTCCACCACCAACACTTCCTCGTCAACCGCCGCCACCACCACCACCTCCACAATTAGCCACTGTTTACACAGGTCAATTAGCACGTTCGCAAATAGAACTTTATCAACAACAATTATATAGTGATGTAGATTATGTAATTTATCCGCTCCAAGATCCTGCTGTTAGTCAACAGGAATATTTGGATGCAAAACAAGGTTCAATATTGGCTGCAATGGCGGCACAGAGCCCACCACCGCCGCCATACCTCGCATATCATACTACTGCAGCTACTGCGAACACGTGGGATACTTGTAAAGGCCACGCAATATATAGAAGTACGCCATATTTGCCAATAGCGTTATCATCACACTCGAGATACGCATCAACGCAAAATTTGTCAGATACTTATGTTCAATTGCCTGGTGCATATTCACCTTTATATAGTCCTTCAGTAGCAAGTCTTTGTTCTTCATACGAACCCCCGCCACCCCCACCTTTAAGACCAACGCCTCAAACGACTTCTGCTGCACATCATACAGCATCATTATTTGCTAGATCACGATCCGATGATAACATTTTAAATTCAGTTGATGGAATGCCAAAAATCAAGCGTCATCCACCACCACCTCCGCCGCCATATGTTAACCGGAGAGTTAAAAAACCACCAATGCCAGTTCCTATTGAAAAACCTCCACCTAGTGAGTATAAATGTTTTTCTATATTTGCTTAATATTAACTTGAAGTTAATTCATAAATCATTAACTAATACGCATATGTGTATATATTAAACATTTTAGTCCCAGTTAAACCATTATCACATCATTTAAATGTACAAAACATTAACCATCCCAACATTATATCGAATGGATGTAGCACATTACCTCATCAGTCAACTATATCACCACTAAAACGTTCAATTCCTGTTTCATCAAACACATTGCAAAATAATCAAAAATTATCAACTTCAGTACACAATGTTAATTTAATTTCTTCGACTTCAGCATCAACCAGCTCTCTTACATTATTATCTACGTCATCTTCTTCATCATCGGCAATTTTAATAAATGGATCACCAACAATTAGTTTAAATTCTTCATCAACAAATTTACAACAGGCAGCTACGAATCATTTATCCACACCATCAATACAGCAAAATCAAAGCAATGGAACTGCAACTTCAATTGATATACAAACGCTTCGAGAAAAAAGTAAAAATATGGATTTACCATTAATATCAGCGTTATGTAATGATCGATCATTGTTAAAACAAACGAAAGCATTTGTAATGCCAAAACATCCTAAAAATACATTAACAATTTCACCAAATTCACTTAGTAGTAAAACAATACAATCAACTAAATATCCTGTATCAGGATTAAGTACAACACAATTAGCTAAGCCTAGAAAAACTACAATAAGTCATAGACATCCAAATGATAAATTACCACCATTACCTATGCAAACTGCTGAAGCTAATAATTATGTAATGGATCCAACACCATCTGTTATTAAACATAAAAGCTATAATAGTACACAGACTGGATCTTAAATGTATTTTAAGTCATATAAATTTTGATAGATAAAGTGATAAAGTTAATGGCATGCAAAAAATATGTACAGAAACGAGCCTATGCTTGAAAGTTTAATTTAACAAAATTGAAGAACGCAAATTATAAAAAAAGATTTTTTTTTAAAAATGCATCGTAATCGTAGTTCAATTTCCAGTTCAAATGAAATTAAGTTTGTGAAATTTAGTCAAACTACATCTTAAGAACTTAAAATAACACTTACATTAAAAATTTTTGATTGTCGAAAAATAAATTATGTTAGAATTCATAAATTATTATAATTAAAATTAGAATAAATTGCCTTTGGCTTGCCCACCGATATTTTATATTTACTAAATTAAAAATAAAAAAAAAACGAATAAATTGTTACGAAAATATTAGAAAAATCAACGTCCGAATTTGAAGATAATTTTAAAAATGATACCTCACTACAAAGAATACGCATTTTATCAATTTTAACACATACAATTCCGTATTTTTGAAAAATTTCTCTTTCTGAGTGTAATAAAAACCAATTACTTTTAGTATTAATTTCATTTTGTAACTTCTTAATAAATTTGTAATTAAAGTAAATTAAAGTAAATAGCTTTTATTATTTTATATTCAAATTCGGTTTAAAATTTCCTTTATTTTTTTGGTATACGAAAATTATAAATGGCAAAATTTAAAAAAAAAAACAAAAAGTATGAAAACAATATTAAAATTTTTTAATTATCATTTCATAATTAGTAATTTTTGTTATTATAATTTAATTATAATAACAATTAATTATTATTATTTTTTTTATATTAATTTAATAAATAAATGAACAAATAATTTTTTAAGTTATTACTGAAAAACGAATAAAATGCATTCCATTGTGCCTTTAAATCAATTAAAAAACGAAGTACATGTCAAAAATAAAAATTTTAAAAAATTGATTTTTAATTTTTAAGTTATAAATTTAAAAAAAAAATAAAAAGTATATTTCTTCAATAAATAAATTACACATAACTATTATATTATCAGAAGAAAAGCAAGTAATTAATTTTAAAAGAAAAGAAGTTAAAACGAAATTTATTAATAAAAGGTGAAAAAGCAAAAATATTATTTGAATATTTTGTTCAATTTTAATAATTTAGATAAACATAAATTTATTTTAATTAAAAAGTCACACTTATTCTAAATACTACGATTATAACAGTTTAAATGTAGTTCATTTAACTAATGTTTTGTTAAATTTCTAAGCTTTTATGTCATAAAATAATTTTTTTATTTTAAAGTTATAAATTGTTTACTTATATTCTTACTTTAATTTTATGTTTTTAATAAAAAAACTTCCTGTGATACATGTAATTAATCATAATTTTTTTTTCTGTAATTAATAAGTAAAAAAAATTGAATATGATTTTCAAATGTTTAAAAATTAAAGTTTAAAGCATTTACAAATTTGATAAATTATTAATTGATTCTAAAATTAAAATAAATATGAACAAAAAATTCAAGAATATTTTTGCAAAACATAAAAAACGCATAAAAATAATTAATGCAAGCAACTGTTATTAAAGAAGAAAATTATAAAATTAAAAATAAAATAAATCGATTTTATAAAAACAAAAAAATAAAAAAAATAGAGTTGATAATCCTTTTGACATTTAATTATTCATTCAGAAGAATACAATTATTAAATAAACAATGGGATTTATTCTTAATGGTTCGAATTTCGAATCTCTAAGAAAATAGTGATAATTATCGTTAAAAGTTCGATATTATTATTGTAAACACAAATCAATTCACACAAATAATTCGTGTCTATAATAAAATTTTTCAAACTTGTACAATAAATATCAGTATATCTTAATGATTCGATACTCAGAATAAGTAACCCAATATTTATTACAGAAGAAAATTAAGACAGAAAATTAATTAAATTTGGAATAATTGGTAATTATTTATTTGTACTGTTATATTATATAGAATTTTTATTATCTCATAACACTCTTGAATTGGAATTTTTTTTTGAACACAAAATAATAAAAAAATTTTCAAAACAAAATTTTGAAATAAAATTTAATTACGCCCTGTACACTCTGAAAATATAAATCATTTGGAAATTACTCGCTGTAATAAAGCACGTTCGGTAATTCATTCTACAATTAATAAATGTCGGAAATGTAACCTAGATTTGTGTTTTAAGTTTAAAAATTTTAAAATTTCAAAATTATAATTTTCATAACAATGTCATTTATGTCATTTTCGAATGACTGATTATTTAGAAGTTTCAGAATCTGCACGTTGCTCTAATCTAAAAAAACTCAGCAGAAGTTTTGGAATATTGTATAACAGCATGTACTGCGGCTTAGAAAATTATAAGTTCTAATGTAGAATTTGCAGTACAACACATAAACATTATTGTAATAAATTTACTTGCTTTATTAATATGTACGTTATGATTTTAAAATTGTTAGATTATTGCAGAAAATAATTCTTCATTTCAACTTAACATGTTTTCAAAATCTTTAAAATGTTTCTAAATTTATTGATTAAAATTTTCAATTCTTAAAAGTTTACATTAATTTTTCATACGTTCAATAATTCCAAAATAAATAATTACTAATGTTATGAAAACATACATACACAATATGTTATATTTATTTATAAGATAGTTAATTTTGATATTATATTTTAATTTATGAGAATAAGATTACAAAACAAAAAATACACAAAAAAAAAAAATAAACGCAAACCTATTTACTTTAATAATTAATATTAAAATAATAATGTAAATTTTATTTAATTTAATTAATTAAATATTGGAAAGATTTTTTTTTTGTTATCACATTATAATTTTATTACTTCTAGAAATTTAAGTTAACAATTTTATTAATATTACAAAGTAAAAAAAAAAGGAAAAAAAAAGTTAAACATTTTAGTTTTAAATTATTTTTCTATATTATAAATATTATAATTCAATTATATTTAATATTACAATTAAAAATTATTATTCACTTACATTATAATTTTATATAACTTTCTTCACTTTTATTTTAATTTAATATTCTCTGTTTTTTATTTTTTAATTTTATTATTATTATATTTAATTTTGCATTAAAAGGATTATCAATTCAAAAATGAAAAGATCATTTTATAAATGTATTAAATTTTATTTTTATTTAATTATTATTAATTATTATTTAATATTTTACTATTAATATAATCATTATTATTAATTCATCCTATAAAATTAATATACAATTTAAGTTAAACACAAAAAAAAATATAAAAAAAAAAATTAAATAAAATTTTTTAATTGAAAAAATTTAAAAAAAAAAGGGCAACAAATTAATTTATAAATTAAGTATTTAATAATAATTATTTTAATATAAAAGATAAGATAAAATTTGTCGTAAGGAAAACAAGTTAAAAATAAAAAATTAAGAAAAGGGAAAAAAATACAAGAAATAAAATAAGTTTGTAATATTTGAATTAATTTTAAAATATAGAGAAAAAGAAAAACAAAAAATAAAATGAAAAATGATGTAAAAAATTTTGTTTTGATATTAAAATTACATAGAATAAAAAAAAATATATTTTAAACTTAATACAAGATGAAAAATATACGCTCGGTATATTTTGATATTTATAGTGCTACACAAAAAACAAAAATGGATAATAACGATTATTTCTGTTTTCCTTTTGTTTTTTTTTTTTATATAAAAAATAAAATAAATGAAAATAAAAATTAAAACAAAATAAAATTTTATCATAAAAATATTGAGTTTTTAATCACTATAAGTAGGCAAATTGTTTATTCTGACATAATGAATAATATTTTTGAGTGTGAAATGTTATGAGCCTAGCCTTCTACCAATATTCAGAGAGACTTCACTAGTAGTAATAAATAATGTTAATCATTGAAGTTTTCAAATTTCCAAATTAATGTTATTATAAAAATTAATAAATTTTTAAATTATGTCTCTTAATCAGTGCCTTAGAATTTTGAACTTGAAATAGTTTATATACCAACAATAAGGAGGTTTTCTTTTATGTACGCTGCCCTTAACTTAAGGTCGAAGCAGTAAGGTCAACTTAAACTTAAGGTCGAAGCAGTAATGCAGTATGTAAAAACTTCACGAAATTTTTTTATGTTCATGCAGTTAGCAAATTCTAAAACTTTTAAATAATCAGTCATTAAAAAATTAAATAAATTAAATTGTTATGGAAATTATAATTTTGAAATATAAAAATTTTTAAATTAAAAAAAAACTCATGCAGCGAAATTTTGAATTGTGAAAATTGAACAGTGAAAACAGTGCTCTATTTCTGGTGCTCTTATTTTCAGTTTGTACAGTGTACCATTTTCGAACGTGCTAAACGTTGGATTTATTCCGAGATTGAATTAACGAAAACTTCCTAAGTAGCCGTAATATTAAAAAATTATCTAATAAATTATGGTATTTTTTATTAACTAAATTTTTATTTTTAACTTTAATTTCAGAAATTTTAACGTAATATAGTTATGAAACTTTATTGCCAATAGTATGCTAGTTAATTGTTATAATTCAAGAGTATATTTTTTAAAACTTCTGCAAACAAAATCTTTAACCTTATTGCAATCATTTAAACTGCAAACATTGCAATAATTTTACATAACCGGACATAGTTTCAAAATTATTACTGCTTTCATGTCAATATAATGCAAATTCTGAGGAGTTTTTATTAGCCAAAAGATTTTCTATAAAATTCTATATAAAATAATTCTATATAAAATTTACTTGCTACTCCATGTTTAATTTTTTTTCCTAACAAATGTTAATTATCCTAATCTGCCCTAATATTCATTTTTGATGTTAATTCAAAGTTTATTATTGATTTTTGGTCGTTCAATAAGATTGTTACATTTCGTGGTTAATTTAAAACAAAATGAAAGCTTTTAATTAACAAAAACGTATTATTTTTTTATTGTAAATTAATTATTATAAGGCAAAGAAAATTTTACTTCATAATAAAATAAATTAAAATATGATCAAATTGCATTTTATAATGTTAAAGTATTTTTCAATCTCACTATTATTTTAAAATTAATTAGTAAATCCTTGTAAATAATGAGCTGTTTTTCGTATATGCAGATTAGGGTTAATTAATAAAATCTTTTTAAAACTGATTATCGATTACAAAGATCATTAGCGCACAAATAACATGATTTAAATTCAATAATAGGATTTTGATGATGATGACACCCTCTTATTGAATCAAATACATGTGTGTCATATAAACAATCTCTAAACCAAACTTCATCGGATCTACGTTGCCATTTTTTACATCCTGTTGAATTTTTATTAAATTGATCCTGTAAATCACAATCTACAATAAGATGTGAATAATATTTTAAAATTCTTTGTGATGAAATTTTTCTTTTCCCACAATGCCGTTTCTCTAAAGAATTACAACTTAAGCAACGAACGGCTGAAACTAAAACATTAAAACTTCATAAATAAAAATATAAAAAAAAAATTAAAAAAAAAAA